AGGAGGTACTTGGAGCACTAGGGGTTAAGCTTCAGAGTCTTGCTCTCTGAAGCTTATACCGCCTGTTTGCAAAATACCTGGCAGGGTAGGCATAATCAGCTATCAGCTTTTTCTGAATGTCTCAGTTTCCAGGCAATGAAGGTGGACATAGTCGGTGAACCATTTTTCACTTGTTTAGTGGGGAATTTACTGCCCCCAAAAAAGAAGGTTTTACAGATTTCAGGTTATCCACTTTTCCGCGGTAGAGGAGCACATCCAAGGTGCCAAGCGGCTTCTCCAAGGGGCCTTGGAACCATCATGGTCAATCAGTGGGCCACCTCACCCTGCAGCATTTCATGAAGTGCTTCAGCTTCAGCAGCTTGGATGCGCAACCACTCTGCAAATGACCATCAAACTGAACCTGCGACGGCCGTTTTGCAGGCCGTCCATGTCCCTGCACGTCCCACACCTGCCAGTAGAATTTGGCCCCAAACGAGAGGAACCGCCATGTTCGCCAGGGTGCCAGCATCACAAAGTCCACCTGAAGACGGTTTTTGTGCGCAAGTAGAAGGACAGGTGCGGGGTGCCACCCCGTTGACCCCTCGCAGTGCAGTGCAGATGTCTGATGTCAGTTGAGCGCCGCTTCTGATAGGTAATCCAACTTAAATCAAGCGAAATGCGACATGTTTCTTGAAAAACACAACCGGTAACCTATAGTATACTTTCGCAGACCTCAAAAGCACTTCTTTGGGTCGTTCGCCCCCCCCGCCTGTTCCCAACGCCGATCCCAGGTCCGACGTGTCAGGCGATGGGGACACGGCCGGACTTCGGCCCTTTGCTGGCGGGATCACTTGGGCTGAAGAATTACCCATAGACTCCATGGGACTGCCATAGGACTGCCGATCAGGCCAGGGGTGGTGCCAGGGGGGTCAATGGGGCGGCAGTCCTATGGCAGTCCCATCAATTTTTGAGTTAATATGATAAATATGAGTGTCCAAACTGGTTTGATCCCATTCGGAACTCAAGTCATTCGGTTTTGGTTTGGATCATCTTCCCAGCCGAAGGCACCCAGAGGCGCCAAAGCTCAGAATTCTGCGGCAGGATTTCTTCCATGCTGATTTCCGCCAGGAAGCCCAAGCGGTACAGCGCCGTCCTCAGGGACCAAAGGGTGAGGCGTGAGGCTTCTGGCCGGCACCCAGTTGGGAGAGCAAGAGAACATGGAGGAGCTTCCAGGTGCTGCGGTGCTGCAACAAGATTTACTAGAAAATCACGCAGAGGGCACATGGAGTCCATGGCGCAGCCTGCAAACGCGGACTCGGTCCATGAGAAGAACAGGCGCCAGACTGATGGACCGAAACCGTATCAGACCCAGACTCCGAACAGGGCCGTTTCGGGATGGAAGACATCGTCAGCCTGGACCCGTGCCACCTTTGCACATCCTCTTAGGTAAGGCAGGGTAGAACGCACCTCTCCAAAAGAAGAACTGAATGCCTTCCTGTGTCCCTTTGACCCATGGACGTGCTCAAATTATATCAAATCCAGCTGTGCCACAAGCAATCATGGCCGCAACTGTAGCAACTCACACCCTCAAGCACTAAGCGAAGCATCATTGAGGTCCACCAATGGCTCAGGCCAAAGCAATAGTACCTCAGATGAAATCGTTGAACATGGAGTAAGCCTTTAAGCGAATTCACATCCCTGCACGACTGCATGATCGCAAGATGCCCTCCGTGTTCGGCCCACTGACTTTCCTTGCTTCCCTTCCTCTTATGGCCTTCGTCTGTGGGCGAGTGCCATACCAAAGAGGTTAAAAGGGTCAGGAAAACCGATTCGTCCGACTTGGGATTCCATCCATGAGGCCAACAGCTCCACATCCGCGACGTTCGTCTCGACCAAGTGGCAAATGGATAAAGCCAGCGAACCAACAGAAGATCACGAAAAAGAATGGAATCGTGGCCGGCACGGCCTCTGCCGTTCGCGTGATTTGTTTGTGTTTGGTGTGTTGGAAAGGCAGGAGATAGTGTTCCGGACTAGGAGGTAGAAGGGGTAAAAACAACACTTGGTTCATTTACATCTATATCTGTTTACACTCTGACTCACGTTCCGTGGAAGTGGATGGCATGGTCTCGAAAGGAAGACCACGTTCGAAAACCCCTGTTCCAGGGGCTGAGCTCCACTTCAATGGGATGTGTTCGTTTGAGTGTAAGACCGCCCAGGCACCCGAAGGTCGAAACAACACCTTGCTCGTTTGAATGGTCATGGTCATGTGTTTTTCCTGGGTCTCGACGTCGGATGTGCTGGTCATGCCTTGCTGTTTGATGTGAACAACCTTAGTCAGCCTTTCCTATTATGTCAGCCTGTCCTTACACTCCCTGAAACTAACATGGAAGTGTAAAACACCCTGTTTTGCAGAAGGAAAAGGTCTTTCCAGAACCATTTTCCACTTCCATGATTGTTAGAGGGACGCTGTTTCACGCAACTTCAAAATCTTCAAAAGGCACCACAGCAGCAAGGGGTCAAATGACCCAAATAAGTTACCTTCCACCGTGTGGTCCTCCAAACATGTCCCGCAAAATGAATGTTGCTAACGCTTGTCCACACTTCAAACATACTCTAAACACAGCTACGGCTACTCCAAATAAAACACATAAACACACACTACTTGTTCCTTTCAAGGGGCTTCATTGTCTTTGGCTCCCGACTCTCGCTCGCATCGCGCTATAGTTCTTCTCTCCATGTTGGAGAGTCCCGTCGTCCTCCGTTTTCGTCTGCAAGCCGCGACGCGGCCGCGTGCGCAACTAACAGCGCTACGGCGCCTGCAGGATGGGCAACATCGGCTTCCCGGTGGATTCAAAGCCCTTCAAGTTGTTCAGCACTCGCAACCAGCGTGCGAAGCCTGCAAGGGCGAAGACCAACCTCAGCGATGGGTTGGGATGATGCAGGTGGGAAGAACGTGGACCAGCTGGGGAAGCTCAGGAGCTTCGCCGTGTCCACTCAACAACTGCCTATTTGGATTACGAACTATCTCAATGCGAATGACGTCACGGAATCTTTATGCCACATCAGCCCACACAGCCTATATATAGCTATCGTCTCTCTCTCTCTCTCTCTCAGTATGCTGTTCTTTAAAGTTGCTAGAGCCCTTCGACCTTTGCTTCAAATATCTAACCCGATCTCTCTTCGGACGTGCCATGCACAAAACCCCTCGGGCCACCTCCGACTGCCAGTGACGCCCCAAAGGCACCCCCCCCTGAATGCTTGCATGGGTGGCTGGAGCGGCTGTGCCGTGCGGAACTCCTCCCAGGCCACGGCAAGGCCCAACAAGCTCACAGCAGTGATGAGGATACGGAAGGCGTCACCTTTCGGACCGCACTGCGTGAGTCGCTCGCGTCGGACGCCGTGACTCACGTCCTGGACGTCGTCGTTTGGGCCCACGACGCGAGCGACACACGCGTCGGGTGGGTCAACACCCGAGATGACCTGCATGTCATGTGGAGGCTTTCAGGCATCCTCGTATCGCATGGTGTTGGTCCGAAAGGATGAATGAACATCCCCTTGTCCAAATGTGGCGGCCCTGCTCGCCAGTTTACGGGTACTGTGTAGTATAAATACCCTGGGAGTCAAAGACTATAAAAAGAATGGTCTTTAGGGGAACTGAAAGGGAACTTCCTTTACTTCAGCCGGTCAAAATATAGTCTTTGGACTTCTAGGGAATATGACATGGTGGCCTGGTGGTGCCAAAGTACTCCCCTCATTTCATAGAGGACATGGACATGGGGATATAATATCCACAACCAGGTCGGGTAGCGGTCTTGTTTCACATGCGGGCGCGCGGCAGGAATCCGGAAAAAATAATGATATCTTTCAGGCACTATAGTGCATTGTGAGGGGTTGACCCCAGATTTCGTAGGCGATACAGTATTGTTATGCGATATTCATATTCACATGGGCTATGCGCATGCCATCCAACCACCCACCCACAGCAGCACACTCGACACACCCAGAACTTCAAGTGCTTTTCGCCTGCAAAGCCGAAGGAGAGCAAGTGTTCTCGAAGCTTCCCATGCGCGTGGTAGCCCATGACCTTAGGTTCCGAGATAGAGCTGTGAAGGACGACTGACTTGGTGGAGCTGAAATCGGTTGTACAGTAAGGTTTACTCTCATGCTCAGGAGCTGCCCCCACAAACCATCATTCATCATGTCAATATGACATCTGCCGAGGGTCATGACCCCAAAACGAGGGTTTGTGTTGTTTCCAGCTTACATTGTAAGTTCGGATTGATCACTGCAATGGTTTGTGGCTGGACCTGCTGTCTGCACCACTCTGCACCGGATTCCACCAAGGCCTTCTAAGCTACAGACCCCTTCCAGGGTCCAATCCCCCCGGACGGAGAAAGGGAGCAACAAGATCGACCACGGATTTGCACGTCCCAGGCCACCGACAAGGTCTCATGGAAGATCTTCCGCACGAGAATCCTGGAGCCGTGGCCGGTTGAAACCGGCGTGAGTGGTGTGGGTGGTCGGCACTCCCACCCCCCTTTGCACCCACTCTTCTGTGGCCAAGGCAGACTCGTCAAACAGGCTCACGAAAACCATCGTGAAACCACGGTGACGAGTCTGGCGTCCGGGTGATGAGCGGAACTCGTCCCATCCCCCAGAACACTCCATCTATATTGGCCGATCAGTTGGGGGGTTTGCCGATCAGTTGGGGGGTTCAGTGATGTTCAGTGCTTCACCTGGGGTCAGGAGCATGTGCTCTATTTCACCCAACTTGACGGAAAAGCCACGAAAAGTCCCAAAACGCTTCCCATCCACCTTCTATCACTCAATGGCTCAAGCTCTACTCCCACTCAACAGGTGATCCTGAAGCACATCGAGACCGCCAAACGCTAAGACCAGGCAGCGGGAGATCCCTCAAACATTGGCAGGTTCACCTTCCACTTGAAACATGTAGCAACCAATTCTCGATTTCCCCCAGGTCTTTGTGGGAGATCCACGGTATTTTTTGGGTCGGAGGCAACCATCTGCCACGCCCATGCTCCCAAAGGCTCCCCACCACGACCAAGCGTCACGGCCGCCAAACCCAGGCAGATGGGCCGAGGCCACACGGCGCTTTTCCAGTCTGGATCATGGAGCAAAAGTGCGATAATGGCAAAGAGGATGGCCATGAAGGTGTCCTCAGTGGTGATTTGGAACTGTTGGGAATCAGGCAATTCTGTGGATGTGGGTGGATGTGGGTATTGCCATTGGTTGGCACAAAGCCGCGACTTGAACCATAGTGAGTCGAAACCACGTCTGCATGTTTATGCGGCTATCAGGGGTGGCCATTAGTTGGCACAAGGGCGATCCTCTCAAAGAGTGCAAGCACAACATGGATGTCCCATACTTGGTGACAAAGTGCTATACTTAGAACCCTGTTTCCAGGTACCACACACAAGTGGTTTCCAAGGTATGTTAAAGTATTTGTCCGTGACTATAGTGGGGTAGGATGGGTCTAGCATCAGTGCTGGCGGCTGCTAGCCTCGAACTTTCTCCCTGGCGCTGCGAAAGCCTGTCACCATCTGAATCTGCTCGCATCCACATACATGTCTGTTACACCCAATTTTAGTTAATACAAGATATACGTATCAAGATGCTTCCCATCATGTTTCAGATGCTTCGCATGTCGCTCCCCTCCCTGCAGCAATCCTCCGCCGAGGCACCACCAGGAAGGCGATAAAGTGGCTGAGCTCCGCTTCGCGCCAGGCCAGCTGAATGATCGCGCGTGCACCTCTTTGATCGAAGATCCGGTCGTTCACCCCGCTGGCGATGACCCAGAGCACCTGATTCGATCGAAGGTCACGGTGCGCAAGGTCGGTGCGTGGATACGTGGCGGATGCCTCAAGCTGAAGTCTCACAAATCTGCTGGACTCACAGGTCTCAACCTAAAGTCTAGGTCAGGTCTCGAATCTTCTCCATTCGCAAGAAGCTGATCACTGCCTTTGACCTACAACCAATCAATTGAACAGTGAACCCCCTCTGCTACTCCGTAAGCCGTATACGCACTTCTACCCCTAAGTGACCGAACTGACCTGTAACCCCGCCGCAGGTCACACCCACCCCAACCCCAGCCTCAGGGTTCCGGTGGAGGTCAGGCAAGACAGCCTGTCCGAAGCGGTCCGAAGCGGTCTGCGACCAATGGCGGTGCGCTTGGACCGTCCTCCGAGAATCAGGTGCTGAAAGAGCAGCCAGAACCAGGAGTCACTGACACGACGGGGTGGTGTGGCTCGTCCCAGCCAGTGAGTGGATGTGACAGGGGCCTCCATGGAGAGCAACCCGTCTGGTGACTCCTGGAATGGGATGTTTCTTTGGAAGCAGCTTAGCTGGTCCACTTCCGTGTTCGTTGGAGGGGGGCCCACAACCTCCTACTCTCATGGATCAGTGGATCGTTTGATCCTAAGAGTTATCACGACCATGAGCTCAGCTGCTTCCAATCCAATCCACCTTCCATACAATCAGCTCCCCACCGATCTTCCACTGGTCCCAGGTCGGGGCCAAAAAACTGGAAGACTTCCCACAAAAACATCGACTCGATGGAACTGATCCACTCTAAGTGCCTGATCAATGTCCTTGTCCCGTTGACCATGGACCGCTCCAAGTACCGTGGTGGGTGCGAGGGTCCAGTCATACCTTCTAAGGCACGACTGGAGCCCCCCGGTCGGGCCTGGCATGCCAGGCCCAGCCTGATAAATGTCCACCGGAATCTGCGACTGTCCAGCGATCTTCTCAAAGCGGTGCGGCAACAGCAGGGCGAAGAAGTTCTCGTCCTCGGGCGGAGAACGGGAGATGATCAAGTCAGCCACAGGGTACTGAACCCATCAGCTTGATGAGAATGGGGGGGGATGGCCGCATATCCTCCTCCAGCTGTAATGTTCCGGGTCATGCAGTGCAGGACCGGCCCAGCTTCCGGCCCAGATGGGTCTGTGTTGGAGACAGTCTTGAGACCCAAAGGTCGAGGATAGGTCCATGCCCTCTAAGCCGCGCCGTGCACCCCCAATGTCCGTCTGTAGATGTCTCGTTTCGTCTGTTCCAACCAAACTCCACCTTTCCTGGACACAAGTCAGTGTGGCATGAAGGAAGTTAAGGTATACGGTATAACCAACCATTCCATGATATTGCAATTAATTTTTAGTAACAGTTTTTTTCATAGGTGGTTTCAATTTAACAATGAATACAATGACGGACAAATACTTAGAACAAAATCATTGAACGTTACAGTATCTTATCTTACAAAGTTCAGTTCATTTACAAAAAAGCCCAGTCCTTGGCCTTTGTGATTGCTTCTGCTAAGCCTCCATGCTGCCGAGGCGCATTCTGTGCGTCGGCATCCCGAGCGCCGCCCTCCATCTCACGGAGAAACTGCTTCTCGAAGTGCTCCTGCGGAGCAACCGATTTGGAGACCACTCTATATAAAGCCCAATTTCACATCAATCATTTCACCTACCAAGAGTTTCAAAGGGGTGCTATCCATGGAGGTTCGGGGTGCCCAGACTGGCAGGACCCTTGGGTCGCATCGGGGTATACTTTATACCATCTTCCAGTTCCTACCACCTTCCCCCCACCTGCCTTCGGAGGCCCCACCGCCACGTTCATGTCGCCGTGCGGCACGTAGGCGGTGCGCCAGATCAGCCGCCGCTCGCCTGAGGGCGGGTGAAGGGGGGTGACAACGCCGCTAGCAGAGCATGATAGAAGAGTGTCAGATAGTGATGTACAGTGATGTACTAGTGATGTCTGTTGGGTTCAAGAAGTATGTCTAAAAATGTCTGGAAGAAAAAACACCAGACACTGCATGTATATGCAATATTATGCCTACATTGACCCCCAAAAAACCCACCCCTGGCCGCTTCTCGGCAGTCCGGACTGGCAGTCCCAGACAGGTCGTGTCTGGGAAAAGTAAAAACGTCTGGAAACACCAGAAGTAGGCCTGATGGCGTGATCTTAGTTGGTGGGTCGCACTCGGGGCACCGACCACAGAGAAAAGACCACCGATGAACCGATTCCTCGAGCTGTGGAGGTCCATTTTTCCATGGTTTGGTGGTGTCATGACGAAACCAGCCAGTTGGGTTCTCATAGATATCATCCAGGTTCTTGCGCGATGTTTGCGCTCCAACTGACTCGCGAGGTCTGCGGTTGTTGAGCTGCATGGCGCCTTGCCAATGTCGCAGCTCGCAGGGGCAAAAGACCGCCGGGATAATCTCTTCCGCATCCGGTGTGGAGAGGAAGGAAATAAAGTCCTGCCCCCGCGAGGTCCAAATGTGCGGAGGGTGAAAAGCGGAGTTGAGAGAGAACGCATGCGATAGATGTTTTGGGTGGTTTTGGGGAAAGCGTGTGCGTTGCAGAAGCAAGTCAGTCAACTCCAGAAGCTGAGGTGAAGATCTAGTATGCCAATATATGAAGCTGGGGAATTGCACAGCCCGAAGCGGTTGGCAAAACCTGATGTTTTTCGACTTGCGGCACTGACCGATCTTCTTATCCAGCACAACAAGGAAGTGGAAGTGGAGATAGCAAACCCATTTCCAGGGCCACTACATGTGTTGCAAACATGGAGTAATGACAATTCATGATCTTCGTTCCACTTCCATGTGTGTTGTCGGAGAACTGCAAGCTCTGCGCATACCAGAAAGAGACACACCGCGCCTCAAAGCCAACTTAGGATCACCACTGATCACCACCGCACTCCATCCATTTTCCGCTTTACCATCTTCGTCCTCGATGGTCATCTGGTTCGTGGTGGCCCCAGGGCTTTGTTTCAGGCCCGTGGCCGCCGCTGCCACCAAGACGGAGTTGTTGGCCTCAAAGATGTAGTCCACACCACGCAGGCCTGGAGTGAGTGAAAACCGCGAGGAGGCTCGAGGAGTTCGGTGCACGGATGGCAGGTGTCTTTCGGTGATTCAGGAGGATGGATGTTTCAGCAGAATGGATCAGTGACCTGGAGGTGCCCAGAACCAGCGTTGGAAATGTCCATCGTGCAGGCTTCCAGGAGAACGATCCTCAGGAATGGGAGGTGACACGTCACTTTCACTTTCCATTTGTTTGCTCCTGGCCCCTGGCGCTGCTTTTCAAATTCCAAAAGCAGAAAAGAACAACGATCTCCATGCCATCGAAGCCCATCAAAGCCCAAAGGAAAGGCGGGCGCCCCCGCGCTCCCCGGCCTGGCTCCCCACCAAACAACTCCGCCTTGCCTGCGGGGGGGTCGCCCCCGAGCGGAGCCGGACCGTTGGAGGCAGGCCACCGGTGGAGGCGGTCTGACCGGATGAATAGGTCTCTCGAAGGTCTATACTTCAGGTACCATTCCCATGATCAGGTCCACCTCCCAATCGCTAAGGCATGTGAATCCTGTGTTTGCAGTATCTTCATGCTTGTTCCATGTGTTCGTTCTCGTTGGGCAAACTAATCCACCTGCAGGATCTCCACATGTTCCTTTCTAGGAAAACACTGAAACCCCAAATTGGACTTCAAATGGTCGGGGACCTTCCAAAACCTTCGCTGAAGCACCTGTTACGACTACTCCGCATCGTCGAGTCGACGACTACTCGGCATGCCCGCGCAGGAAAACTGCGGAGGTCTTCGCGTCGCCGCCGCGAAAAGCGCCTTGCACCAGCAACTTCACGACCTCCGCGCGGGGTGGAAGAGAATTCCAAGTGTCACATGCAAATGGTCCTTTCCTGCCTCCCTGGTCGTCCTTTCCTGCCTCCCTGGTGGCTGGGGGTGGTGTGGCTTGACCCATCCACGTAAGTAGAATCATGGGCCTCCCAAAACCAAGCCACAACCCCGTCTTCTGGGTCCGTTGCTGCTGGTGTTTCTGGTGTTTTTACCCTCTCCAACAGAAAACTGAAAAAGCCCACTGGCTGCATAGAGGTCCCCCCCAATACAAGTGATTTTTAAGCAGATTTTCCCAAAAGTTTTCGTACATATATGGATCGCGCATCCAGATTTGAACAAGTTTCTATGCTGGTGGTGAGAAAGCCTCACTAGCAGTGGAACAGAGTGGATTGGGGACGGCATTCTGGTGGAGTAAATCTTGAAATATTCAATAATGAAACCAAGACCTGTCCTAGTCAGTGTAAGGGCAGTGTGCATTCTCGTCAGTGCACAATCTCCAAAAAACCTCAACCCAACCCACCATCCCCATCCATCCCATCCATCCCCAACATCTCCACTCCAAACCTCCTCCCTCCTCCCTGCTCCCTCACCTCAACATGACATCCGTCGACGGCATCCTTGAGCTCGGGAGGTCCTCCACCATGCACTGCGCTGTGGGACACTTGGGCCTTCGCCGCGAGCAGCACGCGCACCACCTCCGCATGGCCTGGTGGAAAGGAAACGACGAAGGGCACCAGATTCACCATCCCTCGGGCTCCAAGTACCTTCTAAATCTCCTAAGAAAGTGTTTGGGGTGGGTTTAGGGGTCGAAATACCTTCTGAGGAGCTACTTGGAGCCCTATAGGGCATATGTTCAGGTTTCAGGGCACTTTCGGCGAGCAATTAGGTGGCTCTTAGAAGAAAAAAACGGCCGCAGTAAGCCATGGTCGTGATACCTCTATGAAAGTCCTACACCTCCTTCGATTCACAAAGCCCTTCTCTCAAGATCCCTCCAAATCGTGCCGGGAGCTGAGCGGGGGTTCCTGAATTTCAGTCACGTGAGACACCTAAAATAGTGCTCTTAACCAGCACCACCCAAGGGGTGGATATTAGATGGAAAATACATCTTCAGGGGGGGTCTATAAACCACCCTTTGGGTGGTGCTCTTAAGTTAATTCATGGTTTGACCAACGCTTGGTTTTGGTATGTTTTGGCCAGCGCGTGATTTGGTCTGAAGTGCCGAAACCAGAATACTCCAAAGAAAGACCCTCCGAGTGGTGGAGCACGGCCATGTTAACCTCAGGCACCCCTTCAATCGGCAGCAACAGCAGCAAACCAGGAGCAGAAAATCAGCACCAGCAGCAGCAACAAGCAATGCGGCTCTGATAGCCATCTTCCGCAAACAACTTCCTGATGCAAATGATGCCGCTGCCATTAATGACAATCTTTCGCATCACCAACTCATCATAAATGGCCTCCACCAGAAAATGCAAAAAAAAAACATCAAAAGAACATCAAGCGTCCACCCCTCGCCCCGTAGATATTGACATATATTACCAGCTTTCGTAATGCTCCTGCAAGTGGATTGCATCGCCCCTCTCCCATCTCTCACCCCCGACCTAAGCTCGCGGAGATGTGCAGCGGCGTCTTCGTGATGCTCATGTCATCCTGCACCGATGTTTCGATGTTTCGTGGAGATGTCCAAGTAAGGCACTCACTTCAAGGACTTGCCAAAAAGAGACCCCTTTCCACAGCCGGCTTTTTTTAATCATGCCTTCCCTCTGCATGCCATGCGAACGAATGCCACATCTCTGGATACTTCGCCTGAGTGATCACATACTGCCGGGGGCCAACATAAGAGTCAAATGGCTGTGGGTCAAAACCCGGGTTGACCACCGAAAATGAACAGAACAGCTCAGAACGGGACTGCCAAACATCGCAAAGCTACAAAACTGGATATCATGAGGTATCATGAGCTTGATGCTTTTGGGAGGGCCAACTTGGTTGGTTGTTCCAATTTGATATTGACATCCAATCGTTCGGATGGACCCACGTACCGAGGCCACCACGGCCGGTCTGGAAAACCCATCCACTTCGGTCTGGGCCGGTGCTGACGGCGTCGGGCCTGGAACTTCACGGGAATGTCCGGGTTCCCCTTCTGCTGCAGCAGGTAGCGCACCAGGTGTGCATGCCCGAAGTAGGAGGCGTCGTAGAGAAGGGTGACATTCGGTTCACCGTTGAAGCTCACCTGAGGTGCCAGCGACGGAGACACCAGCGACCCGGTTTGCGTCGTTCCGGGGAGACCACCGCACGTCCGAACGTTTCCCCTGGAGAACGAAGGTGAACACCGAACGAACTCCGGTCTCTGGCTTAGTGAAGCCAAGCCTCCCCCCCAAAATGGTGAAACGATGTGAGCACGGCTAACCATGTTGAAGGTGTCCTACCTTGGATTCCACTGGATATGGAAGTTTGACTACTTGGGATCCCGGTCCGAATCGTGAGTTGGGATTACAACTGGGTGGCGGTCACCCCAGTTATGCATGTGGAGTGCGGGAGGATGCGGGGGGGCGGGGAAGCCTTGCTGAGGACCGATCTCTTCAGATAGACTCCTGGAAGGCCCTCTCTCCTCAAGCTGCTATGGCCAGAAAACCACTGGTGACCATCCAAAGGTGTTGGCCAAGTGACCAATCGCCCATTGAGGTTGGCCTCCAACTCCACCAAGAGCCGCATCATCGACAAGTTCCCGCGCGCGACGGTGCCGCAGACCGCCGGGCCGTGCCAGTGGATTTGGGAACGCCCTGCCGTCATGGAATAGGTGGATTCCTGCGACCGCCAGGCTCGCAAGGCAAACACGCTGGGAGCGGCGTCGGATCGCATCGAAAGCATCGTCTGGGAGGGCTTCGTTCCAAACCTGGAGTGAGTTCTCGCCCTGTGATCCCCGCAACATCGGTGAGGTGAATAAAATACACTATATAGTGAGTGGATGACAAGGAGTAGAGATATATATGATCAAGATCAGTGAGGCCAGCAATTAAGGAGTAGTTACTGGAGTAGTTTTAAATGTTTGTTGACGTTTGTTGTCTTTTTTTTTGTGCCATCATGGACAACATACACTTTGAACACACAAATGCAGTGTGTTAGAAGAGTAGGTGGCACAAACCCCAAATGGTCGTTTATATGATATGAACCCCCCATCTAAAACATATATGCAGGGGTGTGACGTGTGTGTCCATTTGAGTGGACCATGCGGACCATCTGCCATGGGCGATTTTCATGAGGCCGCTGGCTCCGGTGCTTGCATCACCCCCATCAGCACTTGGAGACGAGACAACCTGCGGAGTCATGTAGACCGTTGACGATCCTTTCTCCACCCATCTGGATTTGCAAAAAAACCTCTTCATACTAATGGGTGGTTTACATATATATATATATATGATCTTAAGAGCTGTAAAAGTGCCATGACCTTCCAAACACGGACCTTCCAACACCACGCGGCTAGATAGCCGTCGCCGGCGTGCCCACGTGACCCCGTCCGGATCGGCGCGGCTGGCGAAGAGCAAACGCACCACATTGGGCTTGTCCAGCTTCACCGCCAGCGTCAAAGGGGAGCCTTGGAACTCCTGGGCTGTTTCAGCCACCAGCAACCCCTTGGTGGAAGAGGGGTAGGCTCCGGAGTTGCAATGAGTTGCATGTTTTTTTTTCCCTCTCACATGCCCATACACTCCATGTATGGAATATATAATATATATGCCTACATTGACACCCCAAACCACCCCAACTGATCGGCATATATGGCATACATGGAGCGTCTGGGAAGGGTAAAAGGGATTTGCTTAAGGAACCGGAGAATCTCTTACCCAGAAATGTCCAGAAGGGATTTACCCATGAGGGAAACCATATATTATCATTATTATCACCCTAAGCCCCAAAAACAGCTACCTTCACGGGTTTCTTGCTTGGCACTTCATCTTTCACACGGGCAGCCTGCCTGAGTCAGGTCAGATGTATATATATATATACTTGGCTGTGGTCCTTTGCTAAGGGTTTAGCTGCCTCCCAGTGGTTGAGCCATGAGTTCCCTCTAAACCAAAAAAAAGGCCGGTCCTAAGGGTCCTGAGGGTCCAAGCAGGACTACGCCTGACTTCCGATCACAGGGCCCTGACATCGGGGTGGATGGCCCGGCATGGCATGGCACCGAGGGCCTCAAGATGACCATGAAGTCCGGTCATCCAACACCAGTGATCACTCCACTTCCATAGTGGATTGAGAGGAGCAATGGCACTGGCACCCCAGTCGTTGGATGGTGAACATCTGGACCCCCCTTCTGTCTAGGACATCTTGGGGTAAACGTGCCATCGAGCCTCTGAAACCACTGTATTATTTCAAGGAGTGTACTTCCCTTGGTACACTTAACGCTTTCACATGAAAGCTCCGCCTTGTACCAAAGCGATGCACTTCCGTCCTTCAAGAGAATTGGTTTGTTCAGCAACGGAGAAGTCCAGGAACACAGGGAAAACGGAACTGATCCATGAGACATATCAGCTCCGAGGACCCAAGGATGCTCAAAACATCCATCTGTTCTTTCTGTCTGGGATTCTGCCAAAGCTCCCCCCTCAACCCATTCTGAAGGCCCCTCCACCAAGAGAGCTTGAGAGACCTTATGGGATCTCATACGGGTCCCATCTCGGGATGAACAAATGGAGACTGTTCCACCTCTACCTCTGTCAGAACTGTCCGGAACCCTTCAGCCCTTCATCCACTCAGTCCTTCGGCCCCAGCTTGTACTTCAGCCGGGCATTCGGATCCGCTCCGCTGTCCAGCAGCCGTTTGATCTCCGAGTACCTGCCGAGCCCGATCGAAGGCCTTTGTGCGGTCCGGACCGGGCGACGCCGTGGTGCGGGGGCGTGTCCATCCTCCTCTACTATCAGGAGTGTTTCGGGGTATCGTTTCAGCACCGACTTCATCCGCCAGGTCTCCTCTGCGTCCGAGGGTTGGGAAGGGCCCCGGCCGAAGGGTCGAAGCATTGGTGACCTCTTTATCCTCGGGTGCGGGACATGCTGAGCCGCCCCCCAAGTAGACGATCAAAACGTAGCGAAAGCGGCGCAAACACACACGCAACAAAAACACACACATATCAACCTGGACCCAAGGAATGGTTCATATATACTCATACGACACCCCTTGACCACTCCCTGGACCTCTGTTATAGGGGCGCCCTTCATGGACACCGCGCATCTCCCTCCGCGGCGCCCAGGCACGCAGTGCTGCGACGGCGGCGGAGTCCGACTGGGACAGACCGGAGGCCCATAGGACCCGGGCCCATGGGCCGGAGCGGTCGTACCGGATCGTGGGACCGTTCTGTGGGACGGTTCTGGGGTTCGGGGTGCCAGGTTCGGGTCCAGTCATACCGAACCTGAGGTATCGACTGGAGGGGTAGGGATGATGAGAGAACCGTAGCCTGGGGTGTAGGATGCGACCAACGGATACCAACGGCACAAAATGTCCATAGCAAATCCGAGGTGCTGGCACTTCCCCAAGAGGCACTCTCTCAACTCCTTTGCCAGTTCATCGTCAAAGGACGCCTCCAGCACACGAACTGAAACACCAATTGATCACTTACTCTCTCTCCACACCGGAAATTGAAACTCGCCACGAGTTCGGACGGGGAAAAAGGTGAGGGTTTTTCATGGTTGTTCAGTGGAGCAGAGGACGGGCATCTGTAGAACCCATGGCCGGCTTCGTAGCTCGGACCCCCAACCCGTGGGATTTTGCAGCCGATCCACCGGCCATTCCCCACGAAGAACGTCTGGAATCACGCCAAAAGGAGCTGGAGAAAATGACATTCTTGGGATGTTGCTGTCCCAGGATCCTGGAAGAAATTTAAACAAAACATCTTCCCCAGGTTTGGGGATCTAGTACCCATACACTCCATGTATGCCGCCCCATTGACCCCCCCTGGCACCACCCCAACTGGGAAAAAAATCGCAACATCACCTTAACTGACTGGTGCGACTCGACTCGGGAATGAGATGGAATGAGGGAATGAGCCCCCAATACGCCCCAATAGAGATTCATATTCCCTAGGGATCCAAGTACCTTCTCAGGTACGGTGATTGGAGACTATTTATGTAGGCGCCAGGAGGGCCCAGTCGTACCTTCTGAGGTTCGGCATGTGGATCCCTACAAATTGGATCCAGCCACCCTCAGACTCCCTGCTTTCGCCGCACCACCCTGTGCGCCGGAGCACAGACCAATCCACCCGGTCCAGCCAGGTGTTCCCCGCGACGATCGCGACGAGGTGTCGCGACCGAGCTGGAAGGAGAGATCGGTCTGACGAAAGCGGCGCCATTCGACCACAGGATCTATGTGAAGGAGAGATGGGTGGTATAGACTCCCCATGAAAGCTGTGGTATAGACTCCCATGGATTCTGATCGGTCGAACTCGGGGTGCTTTCAGGAGTTCGACTTCGAAATACTTCGCTGTGAGGCAGTCCTCCACCCAGCCTGTGGTAATTGCAGCTCTGGCCGGGCGTTGCCCAACTCGGCGGCGGCGTCCGGCGCGACGTCCGCGTCACCCTGCGGAACCACTGCCAGCCTGGGCTTCAAAAACGGAATCAGCATGGAATGAGGAAAGGGAACCAAAATATACCAAGCAAAAACCTATCCTAGCACCACGAAAAGGGTCTCCATGAATAGCCTCTTAGAGGAGATTAGGGGTGTCCATTCAACATCCCGACAGGGGGTGCAGGTCCAGAAACTTCACAACTTCTCCCAGGCCCATGCAGTGGGTGAGAGAAGGTGCAAAGGAAGTTTCTTCAGGCTCCTGCAGTCTTGTGATACAACCCCACATCCCTGTCCTAGGACCCAACTTAACTTCACAGCTTTACCACTTGGTTGTCTGTCGGAAGTCTGCCGAGGAGTCTGGCTTGTCCGGTCCAATTCCCCCGGCTCAGCTTGAGGACCGATGGCCGGCGATCCGATGTTGTAAGGGCTATATCTCTGACACGACCTGTCTGGGACTGCCAGGACGGACTGCCGCCCCCAGAGGCCGACCCCCTGGCACCACCCCTGGCCGTTTCTCGGCAGTCCGGACTGGCAGTCCCAGACAGGTCGTGTCTGGGAGATATCTTACCGAAGTGCCCACCTGCTTCGCATCTCGCTCATCTAGGAGCTACGTGGGTGACACTCTGGAGAGTGCATAGCATAGCGCCCAAATCACCAAGTCAAAGGTCAAAGGATGTTAAAGGTTATCCACAGACTGGGCAGGTGATATGAGTCATGCTTGTATTTGCTGTCTGCCAGGACAAGAGATGCTGTCGGCTGTCGAGTCTCAGACTAAGTTGGGATTGATCCAGGAAACGGGAACACTTCACTCGATGAACCACACATAACCAAACCACGGCTGTTCATGTTGACTGTTCAAAAAAATACACGTGGATGGGAACACCCCCTGAGGCCCTGGAATTTGTGAAGTATGACTGACCATCAGGTTCACTGGAGGTTTCTTAAGAGATCAACAGGTGAAATGGACACGGCACAGCTGCTTCGCAGCCTGAGGAAGTTCATCAAGAATGAAGCATGTGGGGATGTATATTTGGGGATTGTCGATGCAAACAAGTTGAGACATTGCCAAACAATCCCGAAAAGCCCTGCAGAGGGCAGTCCACATGGCCATGGCCGGGCAGTGCAGTGCTTTCTTATGCCAGGGGGGCCACTTGCCTGAAAAGAGGGTCAACAAACAAGGTTTTCATGGATGAGCGTCCAGTCAGTGATCGGCCCCAAGTTTGTGACCTCTCTAAACCAAGGCTTCTCGGCTCAGAGGAGAGAGACTTCCGTCCCATAAGCAAGCTCAACCGAGCAGCATGCCACGCACAGGCGCAAGCCAAGACAGGGCCGCATGCTTGGTTCATGAGGCCAATGATGATGGGGATCACGTTTGAGATAACATCAGTTGATGCCTACAGAAGAAAACACCCTCCGCCACAGTATAGTATTGTACACCTATTGTGTTCAACTATATGTCAAGAAGACATATCAATCTTGGCAAGGAAAGTGAACGATAGTCTATATACTTATATCATTGTTATATCTAGTTATGTGCGCGACTCGGGATGCGGGTGACCTGAAGAAGACATCTCGCCACTTGCCATGCAGCAGAACAACGACCATGAAAGCCTGTGGAGATTTGGCACTTACGGTCAGGAAAAAGGCAAACATTTTGTAGAATAGCAAGTGACCCACTCAGGGAAAACGTGGACGGGTTTTGATGGCCCTGAAGAAGGGTATGCATCAACTTAAAGGGCTGGGTTTCGCCCATCATTGGTGGTGTATTTATTGAATTCCATTCCATCACCTCGCCTTTGCTCTTTCATTCTCCAACAGCTCCAGGTGGGCACTGAAACAACATGACGAAACTAGCACATGGCACTGGAGCCACAAATAAACTGCAGTCGGTGTGGTCATAATATAAAGAGGAAGTAAAGTAAGTGCCTAAACATGTGAATAAGCAAAAGTCTGCAACAAAGGCAGGGCAGCAATAGAATATCATCTGCTCAGTTTTGCCCCCCAACTCTCCGGTGAGGGTGTCAACTTGTCAACAATAAGTGCTAACTGTAACGACTATCGGCAAAGCCTGTATCACAACAACGCCGTATTGATACAAACTTTGGGATAAAACATGTGAATTTGATCTGTAATGTCGTGGGTATAAATATGTCTCCTGCCTCGGAGGGCCTTATCAACATATGTTAAGGGTTCACGCTTCGCAACCTCGTATTAACACTCCTCATGCCTCTGACTCTTGCCCTGCGCACGTCTTGAAACTGTCAGCCAATGAAAGCCCCATAAAAAATGCCAAGCGCTGCGGGATGTATGCCCAAGAGTTTAAGTCTATTCTGCATCTGGCCCACGAAACACGTCGGATAACCAGACTCTTAGAAAGACTCTATGCCTAAGAATCTAGACACCCCAACGCACCCACACCCATGCCACTTTGTGCTCCTGTAATCCCCACCTTGCGTGAACCAGCAAGGCTGAGTCCCTCTGTCCCGTGGAGCTTTCACTCGGATGACGCGTTGCAGCTTCTTGCGGACGGATGATGCGTTGCAGAACCTTCCCCACTCACCGCGACCAGGATCCTAAAGAAAAGCCCAACACGCAGTGTATGTCCAAAAATGTCCAAGGGGTAAAAATTTAAATCATCCGAACCAGTTCTGTGCCGTTCTGCCGGAGAATAGGACCGCATTTCCGGAAGATCCTAAGCTCCCCACCCCTTCAAGAACAAGGATTCCCCACTCCCCAATGAAACCAGCACCCAGCAGCACATTCTGAGCCTTTCTTCTGAGCCTTTCTTCTGAGCCCCAGGCGCTGTCCTCCACCTAACGGCCCAACTCTAACATCCTTCCGCTGGTATCCTCCACTCGGCGGAGTCACCGCGGCCGGGCTTGTGCCGGTCACAAGCCCTCAAAAGGTACTCGGTGCAGGACTCGTTGGCTGCAGATCCGATCAGGGTCGGTGGGGAAACAAAGGATGGGGGCAAATAGGAGTCAAACCACCTGGAGCAGCGAATCAAGTCCAAGTCTCTTTTCAGCAGAACTCAGTTTGCTGTGTCTATTTTTGGGGTTGATTGCGGTTATTTGCTTTCAGGCCAGACATCTTCAGATGCGGATCGTCCAAGCAACGAGCCCAGCAACCGATGTGTGTCGATCGCTGGTTGTTCTCAAGGCACTGCTTTGGCAGGTGCCAAGAGAGCCAGGCCATCGTCAAAATCTCATTAAGCTGAATCTAATTTCCTGACCATCCGACGCCCTGGCCGTGTCATACAAACTCCTTGCCACGATGAAGGCGCATCTGGCATATGTTGCCTAGACCTAGATCAATAGTTTCAGGCATGTAGCAACATACTGGTCCCATGACCCCGATCACCGTACCATAACTTTGGGCATCTGCATTCACCACTGTGCCC